TGGCAGTTTGGGTTTGAAATGTTAAACATCATGCCATAAACACCAACAGACCTTCCAAATGCGCGAGGATGAAGTGGAAGTTGTCCCAACTCTGAGCTCAGTGCAGGGCCTGCTGGGGCACAGGAAGGTCTGCCCACTGCTACCCAACCAGCCCAAGGAGAACCTGATGGAACAAGCACAGCGCAGCCGCTGCTCTCGGATGCCACGCCACACTCTTCATGTGCTCCACCACCATCTTCCACAAGCACAACGCCAGGAAAGCAGACTTTTCTACAAATCCCAAGCCCATTCCACACGGCCATGACTGGCTGAAAGCTTACTGAGAAAGGAGCAAGCTTAATTCAGGACTACATTATTTTCTAATTAGTCCTCCATTTGATAGCAAGCAGAAGGTGTGTTAGTAGGAAAGAGAGAAGATTCTTTAATTCTTATCTGCCCCTGAAAGAAAAGGACTTCAACATTATCTGCCTTTAATTCTAATCAAAGAGCACTAGCACCTCTCCCCACTGTGGTCCTTTAATCTAGTACAGGTCAATATCAGAGGTCAAGTCCATTTAGTTAAAAATAGGTAAAGGTAGAGATGAGAAAGGAATCTCACAAAGGGTTCTGCGCAAACACAGACCATATGCCACTCAATAGCTGAACTAAATACCCACCCCTTAGACTGCATTGATGTTTACTGTTAGAAACATGTTAAAAACACCAATAGGGAGGAATCGGTGAGATTTAACAGCGCTCTTCAATCTCTCCAACTAGACTAATGTCAAATTTTAAACAACGCTTCAGTGCGTTTGCAGTTTTATGAAAATACAAAAAGTGGTTGGCAGGTTATTTTCAGGGAGGCAGAGTAGAGACACAGCACTGTCTACATCTGTGCCTCACCAAATCTGTGTTTCCCACTCTCCACAACTTCTATAAAACCAAAAGAGCATTAAAGAAAGATATGCAAAGGCAAGCATGGCAAGCCCCTCTCACAGAGGGCACTGGAATGGAAAGGGAACTGTGGTTAAATACCCGGTGATGGGCTACACTGCTCCCCGCACTGCTGACACTGTCATCAGCCTTTTGTGGAACCAGGAGGAGGTAACTCATGGCCATGCCACAGAGGGCACAAAAATTAAGAACTAGGTTAAAGGGAAAAACGACTGTCTTAATGTTCCTCACTATTAAAGTAAGACAAGACACAGATGATGAGCAGCGTTAGAATGTTTTTTTCAACCAGCCGCTGGGGGAAATATCACAAGAACAGTCAGCATTTAAGGCTGAGACCTAATGCGTGTTTAACAAGTGAATACCGCAGGAGCGATAGCTTAGACGAGGACGCTAAGACTAAAAACTGCTCCCTGTGCTGAAGCCTGTTCCTGACCACATCCTCCTTTCCTTCAGGCTCCAGACCCAGAGACGGAGGCAATTTTCTCCATTATGTTTCTAGAAAGCTCAGATGGATAAATGTGTACTAGAAGAGGGAAGACTAGGATTTTCTTTGTGAAATAAACTTTTATTTTGGGACAGTTTTAGATTTACAGAAAAGTTACAAAGATGGTGCAGAGAGTTTCCACAATCCCCTCACTCGGTTTCTCCACTGTTAACATCTTTCATTACCAGGGTACATTTGTCAGAACTAAGAAACCAACACTGGTAACTAAACTCCAGCCCTGGTTTAGATTTCACTAGGTTTTTCAATCCAGGGCAGCTGATACATTTAGCAATGGTAAGATCATGGGTTTTCAATGCTTCTAGAGGCTAAGTGTGTAACTTTCATTCTCAGACTACTCCCTATTCCTAGGCATTGGCCTTTTGCTCATCTCTTATCCCTATAAAGGGGTCTGGGAACAACATGAATTGACATGAGCACCATTAGAGGGTGGTCCCTTTGCCTCTTTAATGCAAAGGCCCCATGTGCACTACTTCATGGGTATGAGATTTCCTTTCTGAGTTGTAAAACATTGTGAATGCACTAAAAGCCAAGTAATTGTTCACTTTAAAATGGTTAATTTTATGTTATGTGAATTTCACATTAATTAAAAAAAAAGTCCCCTCTTTCCTGGCACAACTATTATTGTGTTCCTAGGATTCAACATGGAAAAAACTCGGGCTAAGCATTCAAAATTATGCCCCTCTCTGTGTCAATCTCTTTAGTGGCTTCTAATTGAATAGAGAATAGAATACAAATTCTGTACCAGGGCCCAGTGGTGCCTCCCTGACCTAGGCCTGCTTTCCACCTCCGCTTCGTCCCTCCTCATCCACGGTGTATTCCACAACTCTTAGAACATTCCAAGCCTCCTTCCACACAAGAGCACGCTGGCTCTCTCTCACACTGCCTGCCTCAGTTTAAGTCCTGCCCCCAAAGGCCTCCTGACTACCCTAAAGGAGGCCCTTCCTACTGTTCTTGGTCACAGCCTCCTACTTAACAAGTTGGAATTATCTTATTTATTTAGTAAGTCCCTTGCCTGTCTGATTCCCTCCCCCCACCCGTATCCCTAGCACCTATACAGTGCCTGGCACATGGCAATGGGGCTCAGTAAATAACTATTACTGAACTCAATGTGGGGATTAATGGAATAGCAATCAAGTCTCTCTGCCTGCACTACTAGACGAGAGCAGAGACAGAAGATGCACAAGAATGGAAGCTGGCTGCTGCTCTGCGGGGACTTGGCCCTGAGTGGAATCGGGGTGGGAATCCTTTTAAGCCACAGGGATTGAGTGGTCCAGGGAAGGGACCCTTCACCATTGGAAGCTGGGGAAATGGATTTTCTCTAGTCATTTTTCACTTTTTTTTCTTTTTCTTTATTTTTAGAGACTGAGTCTTACTTTGTCACCCTCGGTAGCTATGGCGTCACAGCTCATAGCAACCTCCAGCTCTTGGGCTTAGGCGATTCTCTTGCCTCAGCCTCCTGAGTAGCTAGGACTACCGGCGCCTGCCATAACGCCCGGCTTTTTGTTGCAGTTTGGCTGGGGCCGGTTTGAACCCGCCATCCTCGGTATAGGGGGCTGGCGCCCTACCCACTAAGCCACAGGTGTTGCCCACTTTTCACTTTTTCTAATATTTCCCATACCAGTGTTCCACATGTAAGCCCAGTATCTGGAAAAGATCTGGTAGGACCAGAGTGTAGTGGGGCGAGGCCAGCCTGCCTCCCTCAGCCCCTCCCTGTGCAGACCACTAGAGCTCTGAGAACCTGAGTGGGGTTGAGCTGGAAGAAACTCAAAGTCTCTGACTTGGGACGGCATAATTTACATACCATAAAACTCATGCTTTGTAGTAATATAGTTTTTTTTTTTTTT